AGGAAAACAAATTAATGAATAAAATATAAATAATTAGATAAATAAAAAGACTTTCTCTGGATATAATTCCAGATTTTTATATTTATGTTGCAATGACCAATATTGTCTTGCACTAAACCCTGTGGATGCAGCGTTGCACAAAAGAAAAACTTCTCAGGCTACTAGATGTGTTATGTACAGTCAGACATCATTCATTTATTTTGTCAGCAAAAGTGGAAAACAGGATGCTTACAGAGACAAAATCAGTAGTACTTTGCTGGTCATGTGATATCAGTATGTCAGCCCCCTATAGGGCACCCCTCCATGTACAATAATAAATCATCTTTTATCAGGCGACTGATATGACTAGAATCATCTCACATGAGTGGATATGATTAAAAGCATGTTTTTCAAAAGCACTATTCACCTTTAACCTGAGTGCATCTTTAACCTGGTGTTTCCAAGACAACAGAAAGTAGCCTCTCCCAACCCACAGTAAAATGGAACTGCCCTCTGAACAGAGTCCACTGCTTAACACGCCTGAAATACACCTTGTGATGGACACAGTATGACTGAAGGTATTTTAATAATAGCGTTTTTGTGTTGTTTTAGTTTTGAAAGCCAGAATTAAGTAGATTTACTTCTTCAAGCTTAGGGTATAAAGGTGCTTCATTAGGAGTATTGCATGTTATTAAAACATTGTGCATCACAAATCAAACACTTATGCTTATTTGCACTAATTATTAATATAGAGTTTATATGCTATTTTATGGTAAAAAAAAAAAAAATTCTAATTGCATGGTCAAAACAGATCCAATTTAGGTTAAAACACCATAATCCTTGAAATTAATATCAGTGTAAAAGCATGGTTTCAATCAGTCACTAAAACAAAGGGATATGCAATTATGGCACAGTCCATCTCTCTCTATTAAATGAATTATATTTTTCATATATTCTGTTTTGCTTTTTAACTTAAAAAAAAAAAGCTATTGAGTAATAAAAAGCTTTAATTTAGGAATTCATGGTTCGCCACTTTCTGAGAATAATCCTGCAGTGACCCCTGCTGTTCACCTTCATTAATGCAACATTCACAAATAATAGCGGAACATTCCGGCCCCCTAGTGTTCAGTGCTATTACTTGTACGAGAGGATCGACGTTGCCAATAAACTATAAATATTAAAGAATCAGTCCGCCTAAGAATAAAAAACTTGCTGAAAATTTACTCACCCTCAGTTTGTGAGTTTGATTAGTTTGTTTCTTCATTTGAACAGATTTGGAGAAATTTTGCATTATACCACTTGCTTACCAGTGGAGCCTCTACAGCAGTGGTGCCCAACCCTGTTCCTGGAGATCTACCTTCCTGCAGAGTTCAGTTCCAACCCTGCTTCAGCACACATACCTGCCTGTAATTATCAAGTCTTCCTGAAGATCTTAAACTGGTTAAGCAGTGTTTGATCCGGGTTGGAGCTGAACTTTGCAGGAAGGTAGATCTCCAGGAACAGGGTTGGGCACCACTACTCTACGGTGAATGGGTGCCGTCAGAATGAGAGTTCAAAATCTAACAATATATTTATTTAGAACCATTTGTGTGCTTCTAAACTGTGCGTAATCTGTGCATATTTCTCTTCTGGGTTGTATGAGACCATTTTTTCACTGAAGAAAGCAATATTGTTGATAGAGGACTCATATTTAGCCATAAGCAACTGTTTGAAATTTAAAAATGTCTTAAGGATGAATTTGTTTATTACAAACATGCAGTTTTTCACTTAACAAGCCATTAATTGATGGACTGGAGTGGTGTGGATTACTTGTGGATTATTGTGATGTTTTTATCAGCTGTTTGAACTCTCATTCTGACGGCACCCATTCACTGCAGAGGACCCACTGGTGAGCAAGTGATGTAAAATATGTTTTTTATGTACGTTTTTCCAAATCTGTTCTAATGAAGAAACACACTCATTTACATCTTTAATGGCCTGAGGGTGAATACAAGACATTTTTATTTTTGGGTGAACTGTAATTTAAAACTTGTGACGAAATTATGCATTAAAATGGTACATGTGTTAAGTATTGCATACATACAGTTCAGAACACACTATTAAACAGCTGTACTAGAGTAAATGGTAATTGTGTGGATAAAACGTTTACTTCCAATAAGCATGCACTAAAATGTGTGCCATAAATGCTTATAAAAAAATTAAAATAAAAAACGCATGGGGAAAAAAATCTTCATTTGATTCAACTTTGTTTTCAAAGTCTCCTAGAAGTAAGTGTTCCTAGAAGTTTCAACTATGGAAGCCCGTTTCCGCCACTGAATAAAAAAGAAAAAAGGTAATTGCGACTTTTTATCTCACAATTCTGACTTTTTTTCTCAGAATTGCGAGATACAAACTCTTACATTCTTACAGATACATTCTTGCGAGTTTATATCACGCAATTCTGACTTTATTTATCAGAATTGCGAGTTTATATCTCACAATTGACTTTTTAACTCGCAATTCTGAATTTATATCTCACAATTCTGTGAAAAAAAATTCAGAATTGTCAGAATTGTGAGATTAAAAGTTGCAATAACCTTTTTTTATTATTTTTTATTCAGTGGCGGATACGGGCTTCCAAAGTCAACAGATGGTGCTGCAGACTTGATTTTTTTTCCCAAAAGTGCAAGCCATTGGTTACCAAAACTGTTTGGTGACCATCATTCTGGTGCTTTCAAGAAGAAAGTCAGTCGGTCATACAGGTTTGGAATAAATTAACTATCCTTTTCAATGAAGCATCAAGAAAACAACACATGACCATAGTTTTAATTACTTATTTTATTCAATATTGTATACATACAAAGTATCTATAAAGCTACAAAATATCTACCACTTTATCAAGAAGGCATCAAAATGTTACGGAGCAAAGACAAGACCATATGCGATAAAGAACACACACATAATAGGTTTTTTATTTTCTCTCTCAGCCTTGCTCCAATGCTTTTTTCCATCATCAGGGATATTAAAAGATATCACACCTTTGTACCAAGAAAAGCCAGAATATATAATTTTATACAAAGCACCTTTTTACAAAAAAAAACAAATCTCTGCACAAACCCAATATCTTTTTATGATACTATCTGAACTAGAGACAAGTTCACTTTTAAAGCCAACATCTTAAATGGTAATGAACATAGGAGGTACCAGTACCTACACATAGACAAAATACAAACATAGATAAAAAAAACAGAAGCTAAACTGCTGACATACTTCCGCTCGAATCCTTGCTTAGTGTCCGATACTAGCAAAACAATGTCCGTTTAACATTCATCATATTAAAGGCATTAGTTCTCAGATCGCTAGAGAAGTAAAGGGAACTGTTAAGGAGGTACTGACAGCGCAGCAGTAACAGTATCACCACCCGAACGGGCTCCGAATATACTGACGTCGTCACAAAACCATCGCGTACATGTAGAACAATACAGGAAGATCTCTATATGAAATGTGAACAAGAACGAAGGGCGAAGGTACGGCAAACACGAAACAATCAACATCGTCTGCCGTTTTGATATCGCGCGTACTTAACTCCACAGTTTACTTGAAGCGCTACAACATAGGCCTACACAGCTGGAAATCTAACTTAGTCTCTCACGCTTTGAGGGTTCGATCCACTTAAATGAACAACATGAATAAATTATGCAGTGAGGATGATATGGTTTGGTGAAGCCA